CCCCCCCCCCCGATCGTAATCTGGTCTGTGCATGCGCGGTCGTCTCCCATGGAATTCCGTTTTCACAACTCTAGAGGGCAGTGTAGAATTGACTGGCTTCATGTCATTATGTATTGTTATCCCACTAAAAATAAGAAAACAAATGAAATTCTCAATTTTTACTAAAAAATTGTCCACTGACCTTTGACCTTAAGAGTGATGATGTTGAGGTTTCTGTCGATGATGAAGTCTGTCGTTCCTCTTTCTCCGATACCAGGGCAGCGTCGTTGGCAATGCTCTGTGTGTCGGGGTCCATCCCTTGTAGCGTGAACAGCATATTCTTCAAGGCTTCTACCGGGCCCGGTTGGGATCCGCCGGTCAGTTTTGGTTCTGAGAGCAAGATCAGTTTAATACAGTGACGGACATTATCATCCAAATTAGACAATAAATAAATCCTTACATCCAGTTTGTGTTGCGCTCTAGCTGCTGAGAAATGAATCTCTCCCTGATGAACTACGGAGGAAAAGTATTTTGTAGAAAAACCTTCACTTAGTTCACAATGCAATCTACTTGGTCTTCTAAAAAAAAAATTCCTTTTGTGCTGCAAGTGACGATTACTACACAAAACTAGTTAGCGACATTACAAACCAACAGGTAGGCCTATGCCGCAGATAGAGGGCAGGGTTTTTATTTTTTGAGGGGAGTTTTGGGGCAAAGCGACGATGAAAATAAAGATGGCGATCACCGCGACGCACAGTGTGTGAATCAAACCGCATTGATTCGCATTGCACCGAAAAACGGGTAAGAAAAATCACATGTTCTACCTCAAGAAACTGTTCAAAATTACAAACATGATGTCATTAGAATTAAGAGAAGTCTGCTTTACATGTAGGATGATCAAAACTAAAGAGGGGCCCTACACTACACGATCGCCTCCTTAACAGCAGCCCATAGTGTCATGTGTTGCCCCCCCCACCTTTTGAATTGCCCCATCATCCCCACCCCCCCCCCCCACCTCGCAGACACGGATCTTCGCCACTGCTCATCCTGTATAACTGACCTCGCTGGTCGATCGCAGACAATCCTCGAGGAACTGGGTCACGATGTCCTGCTGATGATGGGGCTTGTCCTGGCTGGAGTCTAGTGCCGGATTCACAGGCTTGCTGAATTGACGAAAAGAAAATAAGACGTGAAAGATCACAGACGTGTGACGGATGAAAGTGTGCCGGTTGTGATATGCACCTATGGACTTCGAGTATGAATAGACGACACTTGTCGACCAATTTTGAGAGGATGGGATGCACTGCTTGCGTGTCCTGCACCCGATTTCACGAAGCGCTGCGACGCATCGCAACTCGAGTTATGACGTGTAACACGTCGCAACTCGCGACGCGTCGTATCTTCCATTTCACGAAAGTTGCGATGTGTTGAACGCGTCGTAAGTTCCTTGACAACGGCTTAAAACACGTCGCAAGTTAAGACGTGTCTAGTGGTCGTCGCAAAATAAGAAGAGTCATTTCTAAGCCAGTTTTATGCCATAAACATTACATTAACCCTAACTCCTGGGGCTCTTTTACTAGAAAGTATCCTGAATCCGCCAAAATCCACCAATTTTGTCATGCAAAAAATGCTGGTATCCTGAATCCATCAGAATCCCCCAGTGTAGATTCTGGAGGTATCCTGAATCCGCCAGAATCCACCAGCAAAAGTCTTGATGGATTCTGGCGGATTCAGGATACCATGGTGGCATAAAAAAAAATACAGCATGTTTTTCCATAGAGTCTTCAAAATCCATCACCTAACTTTCTGGTGGATTTTGACGGATTCAGGATACCATGCTCGCATGAAAATTGTGATGTGTATTGTTGCATAGGATCCATCAAAATACACCAATGCATGGCGACCCCAGCATGGATCAGTACCGAAGTGAATACGTCTCGCGCACAAAATTTGTGTGAAAGACATTAGCGCATGTTTCAGCCCGTAAACCATAGATATAGAATGAAAAGACTAGATCGGTAGCGCGTCCACACGCGCCCAGTCACTGTGCGATAAATCTCCGCCATTTTGGTTGTCTCTCATAGACGCGCAACAAATTAACGTAGAGTAATGGAGCTAAATGTATCTTTCCTCCAGCACGTGGCCTAGCTCAACACGCGCAAAGCAAGAAATGCGCACCGAGTATTTACGCGATGCGCACACATAATTATTAGCGATGCACATGGTGTTCTTTGCGCGTAAACGGCGTTGCGTTCGTCACGTTTTCGCGCATTATTTGTATCTTTCCTCCAGCACGTGACCCTCCATGCAAGTCCACCCAGTACATGTGTGTACATGTTTGTACAGTATGTGACAGACTTGGCAGGGCTAGTGCCAGCAGTATTTATTTGACCACAAACATTGCAAAAGAGTTAAACTGTTGGGATCCTGAATCCATCAAAGTCCCCCAATAGCTCAAAATGGAGGCATCCTGAATCCATCAAAATCCGCCAGCTCCGCTAGGCTTCGAATCCTGAGTCCATCAAAATCCCCCAGTTTGTTCAATATGGAGGTATCCTGAATCCGCCGAAATCCCCCGAAACAGGGGGGTGGATTTTGATGGATTTAGGTACGTTAGGGTTAACAAGATTATAATACCGAGGCAATGTGTGTAAAGTTGTAAATAGAAAATTCATTGAATAATTATGAATTAGACCGGAATATTAGAATTGAAATTTCAAAGTAGCTATACAGTCCAATGAGAGTTTGTTTTCCTTCAAAATTGCATGGCACGGCCGCCATTTTGTTTTACGTTTTAACAAATTTCGAGCTGAGATCCGACGACTCTTTGTTGAATATCAGACGACTATTCACTGTACGCTGACTAAATACATAAAACAGTCACCGAGTTGTGCTATAAATACACCTACGGCGCGTCGCACTTACGACGTGTTTCGTGAAATGGATCGCAGGACGCATCGCAGCTGCGACGCATCGTAGAGATACGACGCGTCGCATCGCTGCGATGCATCGTAAGTTACGAAGAGTTTGATGAAATCGGGTGCCGGTACGCAAGCGTCTGGCGTGAAGTATGCACAACTAATATTCTGAAAGTGCACAAAGCCATAGCATCTTTGCCTGAGCGTCAGGTGTCGTTGGCAGTGCATTAAAACGTCCCTCCCATGGTCTCCCCCAACTCTCCCTTTGTAACCACTGAGGCGGTACTTGTGCGTGGAGCCCATCTGCTCCGTTCACAAGTACCCCCTCACCGGCAAAGAAAGCACAGTTGGGGGTGACCGACCGACACCATCTTGCCTGACTGCAAATTTGCCGCGACGTACGTCCGTACCATTGCGTGTACATAGTACAAATCCCCTGGTGTACGTGCGTCACACACAAGAAACGGTGCACGTCAACCAGCTAAATGTCCCGCCCATGGGACGTCGTTGCTAGGTAAAATGGCGCCCTCTTTTGTTGGCGCACAGAGCCCATAGGATTTAAGGTTGCAGACCAGTAAATCGGTCCGAAATTGCCTACGCCGGCCAAATCACGATTTGCATGCCCTCAAAATCTTCAGTATTTGAGCATGCTGTGGGCCATGAACTTGAGGGTTTGTAATAAATATTGGTGGAAGCCGTGCACAGGACTGGGAGCTTGCAGTTCTGTGTAATTTGGATGAAATTGGAGCCCTAAAAGCGCTCTATTTTGCAATGGAGTGTAGGCATCGTTTTTCAAAATGGCGATGGGCTTCAGGACTATTTTCAGGGGTGATCATCTTTAGATGGAAATTTCTCCTAAAAGTCATCAGTTGACCCCCCGAAAATTGAAAAGAAAATGAAAGATGATGAAATAAGCTTTAATTTGATGTGTGTCTCGAACACCTTGGAGAGTTGTGAGTATTTTTCCCGAATTTCTGAAGTGGGAGCATTTACCATTGGGGTCTATGGAAGTTTATTTACTGGTCTGCTACCTTAAGAGGCTGTGTATGGACAATTTGCCGTGTTTCTAAGGGGCTGTACCATCTGTTTCTAGAGGATGCAACAGTTCCCGCAAATAACCTTAAATCCTCACCATCCAAAATCGTCCTCCGTCCAAAAGTATGTTTTGGAGTACAATAATGGATTAAAACTAGGCCCACATGCAGCCACCATTATTCTACAAGGATATCAGATCACAATTTTAGATAAGACCAACATTGCAATTGCTTTACCGGAGATGGGTCAGAATTCTTCCAAAAATATGACATAAAATTTCATGGACAGGTAACACTAACAGAGACAAAATGAAAAGACCGCACTTGTTTTCAATTGGCCATAACTCAATCAATATTTTTCGTTGTTGAAAAGCTAATGGACTTTGCGATGTAATATTAAAAAGCTGAAAAAGACGGGCACTTTGAGGGTTCAGGTTTTTTTCGGAACACCCTGTACGTGAACTCCCAGACATCATTACAATTTGTAACATACTTGCAGACGTTGTTTGTTTTGAAGTCATAAATCCTTCAATTTTGTTTTACAGCCATCTGCGACAGTAAAGTTTGCTAGTCAACAGTTCAATGTACTCCAGGGCCAGGATGTTGCCCTCCCCTTAACTTGTATCCTGAATGTTTTACTCTCTCCAAAACTCAAACTGACAAAGTCTAGAGCCACCACTGGGACGTATCCGGTACCAGCTTCTCTGAAATATTACTTCTTGAACGATCTGGAAGAGATTTTGAAGTTCCTGTTTCACAAACTCTGGAACCTTGGGGAGTTTGGGAGTGTTGTGTAAGCAGGTCATTGTACTGATAGGTAAGCAGCCTGAGGACGGTTTTTGTTTTCATAAGTGTGCCTGGTTTGGCTCAAGTATGTACCAGGGTATCTCTGGAAAATTTATTGACGTCATGAAATCCGTTATTCCTTGAAGTCATGAAATCCGTTATTCCTTGAAGTCCGGGACAAAAAAATATGTGTTGTAAACAGTAATCAGAATCTGTCAAAACAACAGGGAAGTTAATTTTCTTTGAAAATTAGATTTTAAATTGCCTTCAAAACTCAGAAGTTTTTTTGTTTACACGCTTGACAATATTCCAAGGGGTTCGCCCGATAGTCTGAAGGTTCGATAGTCCAAAGGTTTATTGATCCGAAGGTTCGATAGTCCGAACACACACATTTTCCATAGCAGGGGTTTCGTTAGTCGGAAAATGAAATAAGGTTTGTTAATCCAAGCATTTGATATGATAGACCGAAGGTTTGTTAGTCCGAAGGTTCGTTAGCCCGAAGGTTCGATAATCCAAAGGTTCATTTATCTGAAGGTTCAATAGTCCAAATTTTCCGACGGTTCAATAGTCTGAAACGAATACAAGGTTTAATAGTCCGAAGGGTCATTAATCTGAAGGCATACTAGATTCAATAGTCCAAATTTACAATAATGTTCAAGCTGTTAATTCGGACTGTTGAACCTTATTGTTGATTCGGACTATCAAAGTTTCAAACCTTATTGTCTATTCGGACAATCGAACCTTCGGATTATTGAACCTACAGACTATAGAACCTTTGGATTTTCAACCTTAAAGAGAATATACATCATTTGCTTTTGCTGTAATTTTCAGAAATGGATGGAATTGGGGGGTTGGAAATATATAGCAAATATAGTTACAATGACTTTTTTGAGGTTTTGGGTTCGAAAATGCTATAAAAACCAAGAAAAACAATCATTTTCCTGTAGTCTGGTTCCCTGACTCCATTTAAGAAGAAACAGAGCAGTTTACATATTGGGGAATTGTAAGGTCAGGGAACCAGTCTAGCTGGCTTGTACCCGTTCATAGGTGTGTAATCGATTGCAAACAAGTGCGATGGTCAACTGGGGCCAGTATTTGAAAAAAAGCCAGTTTTTTCCAACGCTGATCGGCCGATCAGCGTTGGAAATTGATACAAAAATACCACTTTTCTTGAAAATGACAGTATACCAGGTGCCATGATTTTACAGGATGCTTTACACTGTCATTCACTAACAGTCCAGCAAGGTATTTCAAAATGATTTGGTAGTTTTATTTTTTGATGTTTGCAAATGTTGTATTTTCCCTTTAAGACTAAAAAACTTTCAGACTGATGAACCTTCGGACTATCAAACCTTCGGACTATCAAACCTTCGGACTACCGAACTTTCGGACTAATGAACCTTTCGACTACTGAACCAGGCTATCAAAGCTGGGGATAATCGACCTGTCACCATTCCAAGTGCATCATAAGAATTTGATCTGATCATATACTGAACTTTCAACCACGCTAGAGGTGTCGGGAGGCATTTTCTCGCTGTGTAATCAAAGCTTGAACGCTTAGAGGTCCTCATTATCAAAATGATTGTTGCCATGGAAACACCACAAGTCATTTTCAGGCTGTTTAGCAGATCAAATTGGGTAAACTCAGTGCCTAGGATCAGTATTTGACCGCCGTGCCGCGGGGTACAGCAGCGGTAGGGTGTCAGGGTGTGTGACGTCATGTGACCGCGTCGTGCCATAACAAACCCACAGGGGTACCGGCAGGGTGCCTGACTAAGTATCATTGTGTTTCGCCTGTCTGTCCCAGGTGTATATGTATTTCACATTTTTTTTATTGCAAACAGGGATGGTCTCAACACTTTAGTTTTCCAATTCTTGTTTCATTGAATATTTGTGAAAATTAGGATTAAATAACTAGTGACAAAAACTAATTAAGACCAAAAAAATACCTCCGCTTCCGATCACATGACATTCGAAAATAGGGTAAGTAGGTAGGGCATTTTTTTTTTTTTTTTGGCCAATTTTTTTTGTGTACGATCATATGGAGGCATCTGTGTGTAGTCAATCTAGGTAGTAGGCCTAATTGATGGTTTTGGGTGATTTTTTTCTCATTTTTCCCATTAAAAAATTAGGGTAGGGGCTGTCAGAATAGGGTAGGTAGGGAAACAGGAAGCAGAACTTTTTTTTTTTTGGCCTTATCTTTTTTTTCTATAATTACTGAGAAAACCAATTTGCCTCTTCCACCAACTTTTTTATTTATTATTATATCACATTAAATTCTTTTACATAAAGGGAATACACCGGTACAACATTTGCTTTTGCTGTAATTTTCAGAAATGGATGGATTTTGGGGGGTTGGTATTTTATAGCAAATATTGTTACACTGACTTTTTTGAAGTTATGTGTTCGTAGATGCTGGAAAACCGAGAAAAGAATATTGTTTCTGTAGTCTGGTTCCCTGACCCCACTTAAGATGAAACAGAGCAATTTATAGACGTCGGGGGGATTGTAAGGTCAGGGAACCAGTCTAGCTGGCTTGTACACGTTCATACATGTAGGTGTGTAATCGAATGTAAATAAAATGCTGACTAACTAAATATGGTAAATTTGGGGCAGTATTTGAAAAAAAATTGCCAGTTTTCTCCAAGGCTGGTCGGCCGACCAGCGTTGGAAATTGATACCAAAATACCACTTTCTTTGAAAATGACAGCACACCAGGTGCCATAATTTTACAGAATGCTTTAGACTGTCATTCACTAACAGTCCAGTAAGGTATTTCATAATAATTTGGTGGTTTTATGTTTTGATGTTTCCCAAGGTTGTATATTCCTTTCACTTGCATAGTCTTTCTTCGCATTTTTCCTTCAATTAGGATTGGAATGTTTAAGCAACGTTAAATTTGTTTAAATTTTTTACAGGGTGATATTTTGACAAATATTTCATTTCTTAGTAATTACTTCTTAAACTGTACACATTTCCCACAAAAACGGGTTATTTAATCTTCACAGGAGTCTGTGTAGACTTTAAAGAAAGTCAAAACATATGAAAATTGCAAATGATCCCCACTTTTCAGCTATGCAAGGCGTTTGACCAACAACTGAGGGCAGTATTCAACTTCAGTAGATAACACTAAATATTTTTCGACAACAGAGGGCGGTACACAACTTTAACAGTGTTCATGACAAAGTCATCAAAACACAAGCAATCAATGCAGAAAAGCAGTAATAGTTTTACCAAAAAGTACAACATTCTGGCAGGGGATTGACAAAAACAAAGTTTGGCAAATCAAAAAACTTAATGAAAATATATGAATAATCAGAACGGTTCTTGTCCCAATTTTATTATACCGTAGAGTAGATCATATGCAGCTATCCAAAAAGTAACTGACAAAAATATTGTTAAAAAGCATACTTCGTTTTACATAGTAATGGCACTAAACTCCCTGTGAAATAATTCTTTCTGGCAAGCTGTCAATTTAAAGAAAACAATAAAAGAAGGTCATTTCTGAAGATGAGTCAAGTGAAGCATTTTTGGAAATTTCCGTTAGTAGTTGGTTTGTAATTGGGCAAATCCGTGAATGGGTGCGCGCAAGCGTTGACACGACGCTAACAGACGCGCTGTTTCCTATTATTCGGCAGTTCAATGCGCGACATCGCGTAGCTGCAATCAGCTGAATGAGAACATGTTCCAGACGTTTATTTCGGCTGCAATTCAAAATGACTCGGCAACTTTTGAATTGAAAACGAGCTCTTAGAATATTGTTTTCTCAGAATACAGCATTCACTGAGCTGAAACTTCATCAGGTTAGGCCAAAAAAAAATAGGTCTGCTTCCGATTACATGGCATTTGAAAATAGGGTAGGTAGGTAGGGAATTTTTTTTTTTGCCAATTTTTTTTGTGTACGATCATATGGAGGCGTCTGCGTATAGTCAAGGGTAAAAGGTAGAAATTGATGGTTTTGGGTGTTATTTTCTCATTTTTCCAATAACAAAATTAGGGTAGGGGCTGTCAGAATAGGGTAGGTAGGGAAACCGGAAGCAGAACTATTTTTTGTTGGCCTTAGTTGTTAAGCAACAGTCTTTAGATTTTGTTGCTTCAAACAAAACAAATGCAAAAATGATAAATGACCAAAAATTTATGTGCCACTAGGTCAATGCATGCAGTGACAGATTTCGGTGAATTTAAGGAAAATGGCACATGGAGTTAGGGTTTGTGCCCAAATTTGGCAGGGTTTGAGGTTGCAAATACATTTTCAGATCAAAAATTTGTGAAAAGATGTTTCCACTCACTACGTTGGCAAGTTCCTTTCCCACGGCCGATCCCCATCCAAGATCTCCTCCGTGAGTAAGCTGTTGTCATGGCGATCCGCATCCTCCCGACGATCAGATTCCTCAAAATGGTGACGAGTCAAGGAGGGATTGGGTTTGCCCCTAGATGCCCTGGCTGCATCCAGGACTTTCTCAGCTCTCTCTAGTAAGGCATCTTCTCTCTCTCCATCAACTGAAAAATTGACCCAAAATATGAAAAATTAAAAATTAAAAGCATTAAATAGTCTCACCAAAAGTTCCATCAAGATACCCTCCTATGCAACATACCTTCTGTGCCAAGTTGTCCTTTCAGTCAAAATCGTTCAAGTGACTGTTTTCAACAGTTAAGAGCTCCCAGCCTACATAAACAGGATTGACTGGCTCTGACTGTTCATGTAACTTGATACAGCTATGCTATGACTGTGGGTGGTTGATAAGCCAGCTGTACCCACAACGGTGAACGTGTAGTGTAGGACGTCTGTTTAGTTTCGATAAAATTAGAGTCAAGGGTTTCTTTTATTACGCAAAAATGACCTTTTCAACCTAAAGCAGTTTTCTCTCAATATAATGGCACCTTTTTTTGTAATTTTTAAACAGTTTCTTGGGGTAGAAATTACGTTTTTCGTACGCGGTTTACAGTTGGTGCCGTGTGATTCAGCACGCCTTACACGTTCACGGTACATCGCGCGGTGATCGCAATCTTTATTTTTGTGTTGCATTTTGTCCTTGTCATCGTCATTTTACCCCCAAATTTCCCTCAAAAATTCAAAACCCTGCCCTTTATCTATGACATACCTGTATGTTCTTAATGTCGCCAGCTAGTTTGGCAGGTCAAATAATTTAAAAGTGGTTTTTGTTCCCTTATAGGAACCGGGCCGGTAGATATACGATCGCCCCCACAACGTGCCTGCATTGTCGGTTGACTGAATTTGACCAGTCACAGTGCTTGCTTGAAATATGATCTGACTGTTGGTGACTAGCCTGTATGAAAGGCACGGCAGGGGAAGTGGATTGATTTTTTGACTGTCTGTGACTGCTTAAATAGCAGGAGTTAACATGCTAATAAAAGCTCAGCATCTCAACGAGATTAGACCCTGGTCTAATATTTTTTAAAGAGGTTGTGGAATGCTCGAAGACATTTCCGTCATTTTTCGGGTATATGTAGCCTAAGGTGTGATGAAATAAAAACGACTATTGTTTCTGTCATAAAATGAGTACAAAAGGTACTTTTGAGAGCTGTTTTTCAAGTCCTGTCATGCCTGTTTCGACCCGAACGTGCAATTTGTGTAAAAGTCATCGTTGCGGGCAGCAAACAAAACACAGTAAATCGTGACGTAATAAACAGGACTCCCGATGCAGAGTAGCATAAACGAGTCCTGTTTATTACGTCACGATTTACTGTGTTTTGTTTGCTGCCCGCAACGACGACTTTTACACAAATTGCACGTTCGGGTCGAAACAGGACCTGAAAAATAGCTCTCAAAAGTACCCTTTCTACTCATTTCATGACAGAAACAATAGTCGTTTTTATTTCATCACACCTTAGGCTACATATACCCCAAAAATGACGGAAATGTTTTCGAGCATTCCACAACCTCTTTAACTAGGTATGCATTTAAGAAATAAGCAACATACAAGAGAAATCATACCGTCATCAAATGTTTGTTCCATCTTTCTAGCGAACGTGTCCACACTATAGCCACCGTCGCTATGGGGTGTCAATCCTTTGCTAGCATGCCCATTCACTGATCGTCTGGCAAAATTTGGATCAAAATCAACACTGTGCTTCGGTGTGCTGGACAACAAATCGATTGCATCTCCTCGAGCGGAATTTGCTTCGTGCTGGAAAAGTTCTCTTGCTGCACCAAGACTTCTCTTAGATGCTAAGCGGTCGTCGTATAAGGTGTGATGTCTCGAGTTTGAGTGCGAATACTTGTTGGAGAATGCGTTTGCTGAATACTGCCCTCTAGAGGTGCGTTGTGGCAAGTGGAAAACTTTACCGGTAGGGGATGCTGAAATCAGATCATCCGTAGTGTAACTGTACGTCTTCTTTGGTTTGGCATTCTCTGAGAATTTGACAGTTCTGCTTGAGGTTGGACCTCTCTTAGAATCTTCTGGAAGTCTCTCCTTTTCAAGACTTCTTGAGATATGTTCTGAGTAGTCAAAATCTCTGACCGTCAGCCCAGGTGGTTGGTTTGTCGCTGTAACATCATGGAAGACGGCACTTGTTATGAGATCACTTGCAGAGTTGGATCTTCTAAGAGGGTCTCTGTTCTGAGTTGACAGCCTTCCACGGCCTAGTGTGTGAGTTGCTAGATATTCAGGATGCTTTGCGGTAGTATTAGAGCCGTGGATCCCACTTGTGAAGGTAGAGTTGAGGTCTTGAATCCAGCTGGGTGGTGGTCTGCCACCGTCTCTTTGATCTTGTGTTTTGGACTTGACACGGCTGCTGATTCCAGATGCTTCCAGGTCTTGGATCCAGCTTGGAGGAGCCCTGCCGCCAGCATGGGCCCTAGAAGGAAGGCTTGTCAACTGAGATGCATCAAGCTCTTGGATCCAACTAGGAGGAGCCCTACCACCAGGATGGGGCCCGGAGATCAGGCCACTTATGCCTGACCCCTCCAAATCCTGAATCCAACTTGGTGGAGGTCTGCGACCATCTGTGTGGAGATTTTGTCTCCGAAGCGGGTTTCTCTCGTCTCCAGGACTACCTCCTGACAAATTCTGGTCTTCTTGTAAGCCTGGAGCCACTCCCACACCAGATCCATCTTTGAAAGGACTCCTCCTTGTCTGCAAATTTGTCAGATTTTCAAATTTAGGACTACGTCCCGAGTTGTTCACAAGGTGACCTTTTCTGCCAACAGAGGGTACAGAGCTCGTAGCTAGTTTCTTAACAGGTGATATATCTGAGGGAAACTGAGGAACATGACCCGGTTTCAACCTGGAGCTAGCTTCAGCCTGTGACCTCCCTGCTGCCAAACCTTGTCGTCTGGAACTCTGCATCCTCCTTTCCTCAAGTCTACGGTTCTCAATCCTTCTTAAAGCTTCCGTTTTGAGTGTCAGACTCTCTCTTGGGATGAAGTCCTTGGGTCGTGGAGGCGGGGGATGTCTGATGGGAGGATAAGGAGGGGCAAGAAGGAGGGCATCAGTTGAGACGCTGACTTCACTCTCCATCTCGGTGACGACCGAGCTGCCAGGAAGAGGTGAAAGGTCAGAGGTTAGGTGGCGGGTCGACTCAATCAGGCTTTGTGCTGAGAAAGAAACAAAATATTATATAAATTAATAGTTCATAAAAAAGATCGAGCATGAAAGTTCGTTTCCTGTCCCATTAATCTAACCCACCTCACTCCTCCAAAATCCTCCTGGCGGTTTTGGAGGATTCTAGAGGATTGAGGATGAATGGTGATTGAATCAAATGAGGATTCTGGAGGATTGAGGATGAATAGTGATTGAAGCACATGAGGATTTTGGAGGATTGAGGATGAATGGTGATTGAAGCACAAGAGGATTTTGGAGGATTGAGGATGAATGCATTTTGAGGCAGGACTGTCTGATGATTTTGAAGGATTTGGCGTTGGGTTATCCTTCATTTAAACACGAGTGCAAAATTTTGGGATGAGGAGGATTTTGGAGGATTGAGGATGAATGCATTTTGAGGCAGGACTGTCTGACAATTTTGAAAAATTTAGGCAGAGTTGCAAAATTTTGGAAGATTTTGGAGGATTGAGGATGGTTGTAAGCAACAAGGGCCTAGGGGGTTAGGGTTAATATATCAATTGATACGAGCTCTGTTACCAAAGTCTCAAAAAAGGCATCTTTTATTTATAAAAAAAGATGCATTCCCAGTACTTTTTTCAAGTTTTACCTGGAGAAATAGATTTTTTTTTTCAATTGCAATTTTCTTAGCAGTATCTAAAATTTATTCACTTTTAAACGAGCCATTGAACCAAAAAATCCACTGATGTTTATTTATTGAATTATTTCTTCACAAAATTCCGATTATTGACTGCCAGACAATAATTCGGTTATCACATGGTGGGTCATTTGTGCACAAAATGAAAGCCCTGTTTCAGAGGGTTGCAGATGCCCAAAATTGGAATAAAGTAGATTATTCTGATCGGAAATTCGTTAGGAGAAAACAAAATCAATTTTTGAAGAGCTTTGGGTATACAACTTCAACACAGGTGGAAGGCAGATAATGGTCTGTATTATATTTTACTTGAAAATTCCAGAATCTTTAGAAAACAGTGTCTAAGTCTTGATTAACCCTAACTGCCCTGAATCCTCCAAAATCCTTTTTGCAAATTGGAGGAATTTGCAGGATTGAGGTTACATGGCAAAAGTGCGTTGCTGATTTCGGAGTACGCACTGTGTCAAGGTCTTGGGCCGGACCTTGTGTTGTTTATGCTCAGCCATGCATAAATTTAGTCCTTGATTATACTTGACATCCTCCGCACTGCTCCAGGATGTCACTGCCTCTGCCTCAGCCTATTGACAGTCACAGCCAGAGGATTTTGCAGGATTCAGGCAGTGGTCATCCCTCCATGGACCATATTCAAGAAATAACAGAGGAATTTGCAGGATTGAGGCTATATGCTATTTTTCCATGAGGCCAATTGGAGGATTTTGCAGGATTGAGGCTACATCCTAGCAAAAAGGCCTAGGGAGTTAGGGTTAAAGGGAATATACAACATTTGCAAACACCAAAAAACAAAACTACCAAATTATTTTGAAATACCTCACTGGACTGTTAGTGAATGACAGCCTAAAGCATCCTTTAAAATCATGGCACCTGGTGTGCTGTCATTTTCAAGATAAGTGACATTTTTGTATCAATTTCCAACGCTGGTCGGCCGACCACAGTTGGAAAAAACTGGCTTTTTCAAATACTGCCCCCAATTTACCATATTTAGTTAGTCTGCATTTTATTTGCAATCGATTACACACCTAGACTGGTTCCCTAACCTTACAATCCCCGACGTCTATAAATGCTCTGTTTGATCTTACATGTAAGTGGGGATCAGGGAACCAGACAACAAGAACATGATTGTTTTTCTTGGTTTTTCCAGCATCTACGAACCCAAAACGTGAAACAAGTCAGTGTATTTTATATTTGCTATAAACTAGTAACCCCCCAAATCTATCCATTTCTGAAAATTACAACAAAAGCCAATGTTGTATATTTCTTTAATGTCATATGCCTGCACAATTTCCTTCAGAGAAAATGCCATAGTTGTCACAAAGTGCACATGAGAATGCAAGTGTGTTGTCGGTGTGTGTAGAGGGGAACGTCCGGCAACAGTTTTGTTTGGCGTTTTTAATGCTTACAGCACAGTGTAGCACACGGGGTCTGCTCATGAGTCCGATGCCTCATAGATCTGAAGCCTCATAAGTTCAAAATTTCAGACTTATGAGGCGTCAAACAATTTATGAGACAAACAATTTATTTATTCCGCCTCATAGTTTCGACGCCACACAAGTCCGACGCCTCATAGCTCCGACACCTCATAAGGTAAAACAGCATTTGTCCATTGTCGGACTTATGAGGCGTCGGACTTATGAGGCGTCGGACCTATGAGGTGGAATTTATGCCTCGTAAGTTCAAAATTTCAGACTTATGAGGCGTCGGACTTATGAGACAAACACTTTATTTATTCCGCTCTTAGTTTCGATGCCACACAAGTCCGACGCCTCATAGCTCCGACGCCTCATAAGGTAATACAGCGTTTGTCCATTGTCAGACTTATGAGGCGTTGGACTTATGAGGCGTCGGACTTATGAGGCGTCGGACTTATGAGGCTTCGGACCTATGAGGTGGAATTTATGCCTCATAGGTCCGAAATTTCAGACTTATGAGGCGTCAGACCTATGAGACGTCGGACTTATGCTACCGCCCCATGCACTATAATATATAATATCTTTTGAAAAGTTTTATTTTAGGAGCACTCAGTACCTTTTTCTCTTTCCAGATCTGCTTGGACCATCTCACTGTAAGATTCGTCTAACAGCTTCTTGGAGACATATCGCCGCCACTCTGCCCTGGTATCCCGCACACCGGTGTCCAAGCTCCGATCAACTGTCCGCAGCAGAACTGACCTAAAAATTAATTTCACATCAAAAAGAGAGACAGTCTGTTAGATTTAAAGGGACATTAGTCAATTTGGCTATAAAGGCGTTTTTAAACAAAAGGATGTTAACCCTAACTCCCTAGGCCTTTTTGCTAGGATGTAGCCTCAATCCTGCAAAATCCTCCAATTGGCCTCATGGAAAAATAGCATATAGCCTCAATCCTGCAAATTCCTCCGTTTTTTTCTTGAATATGGTCCATGGAGGGGTGACCACTGCCTGAATCCTGCAAAATCGTCCAGCTATGACTGTCAATAGGCTGAGGCAGAGGCAGTGACATCCTGGAGCAGTGCGGAGGATGTCAAGTATAATCAAGGACTAAATTTATGCACGGCTGAGCATAAACAACACAAGGTCCGGCCCAAGACCTTGACACAGTGCGTACTCCGAAATCAGCAACGCACTTTGGCCATGTAACCTCAATCCTGCAAATTCCTCCAATTTGCAAAAAGGATTTGGAGGGTTCAGGGCGGTTAGGGTTAATTGGAAAGAGCATTTAAAAGTAGGATATAAACATCTAGACAATTATCCTTTAAAAACTGGGCGTTGTTGTGTTATTCTTGCGAGGACGAATTTCGGGGGTCAAAATGTTGACTTTCAAAAATCGAGCCGTTGGGGGCTAGTTGTGAATCCTACTGCACATGTTCCACCAGTGTATCGCATTCTGCAGATATGCGAGAAACAACATTTGTGTATTGGTGCGATGTGTTTTATGCGTCACATACGCAACGTATACTGTACATTGAATGGGCAGGTCTGGAAATATGTATACGTGTGCCACAAAATGTCTGCGGCGTCACAAGTAAACAACCAGGATTTTTTTTCTTTTCTCAGGAACAGTGCGACATTAGGCTAGTTTCCTTGCAACTAGACATTTGAAATAGCTTAAAGGAAAAATACCACATTTGTAAACATCAAAAAATAAAACTACCAAATCATTTTGAAATACCTTGCTGGACTGTAGTGAATGACAGTGTAAAGCATCCTGTAAAATCATGGCACCTGGTATACTGTCATTTTCAAGAAAAGTGGTATATTTGTATCAATTTCCAACGCTGGTCGGCCGACCAGCGTTGGAAAAAACTGGGTTTTTTTTCAAATACTGGCCCCAATTGACCATCGCACTTGTTTGCAATCGATTACACACCTATGAATGGGTACAAGCCATCTAGACTGGTTCCCTGACCTTACAATTCCCCATTGTATGTAAACTGCTCTGTTTCTTCTTATATGGAGTCAGGGAACCAGACTACAGGAAAATGATTGTTTTTCTTGGTTTTAATAGCATTTACGAACCCAAAACCTCAAAAAAGTCAGTGTAACTATATTTGCTATATATTTCCAACCCCACAATTCCATCCATTTCTGAAAATTACAGCAAAAGCAAATGATGTATATTCCCTTTAAGGCCAAAAAAAACCCTTCTGCTTCCGATTACATGCCTTTGAAAAATAGGGTCGGTCAGTTAGAAATTTTTTTTTTTTGCCAATTTGTTTTCAAGCTGATTGAATGGGGTATTTATGCGAAGCTTTAAGCCTGAACTATGTCCATTGCACTACGAGAGCTATACAAAAAAAATGGCCACAAAAAGTGAATAAAACCTACCTTAATTATTTTCAATATATTTACTTTCGATAATTTTAAAAAAATAATGGAAAATTCAGGTCGTGCGCACCATATGCACAACGCTAGTCAAGACTGGAAACTGGCCAAAACTCCGTAATTCATGAGTGAATGCATGTGTGGCCAGCGGGCGACAGACCTCGTTTTTATGGTGGACAATTTTGGGGATACACGCTGCATTGTATCACTCCAAATACGAGTAGTGCCATCTCAAAATGAACTCTTGAACACGGAAAATACATACACGGACAAGAGAGATGTCTTCTAAATTGGCGCCTGCGCGGCGCGGCGGGAACCAGTCGTCGCCGCATCATGAGCTAGCATTATGCACATGTCACCGCAACATCGAATTGCGAAGTAGTTACACCGAAGCGAATTTGTAAAAACAACGGAGGTTTCTTTTGAAAAAAAATAGTGAATGTAAGTAAGAAAACAAATAAATTCAAGCATTTTTTACGCAAAAGGGTTGATGAGAGGTATTTTGTGAAGTCAGAATAGCCAACATGATTTATTTTTTGTATTTATTCCATCATTAAATTTTTTGGAATTGGCGATAACATTTTTAGGGACGCGGCCTAAAAATAGGGTCGGTCGGATAACCGGAAGCAGAAGTATATTTTTTTTTTGGCCTAAGCAAAATAATCTAAAACATAACATTTTTGGGGGATTTCTTATATATATATATTTTTTTTGGCCTAAGCAAAATAATCTAAAACATAACATTTTTCGGGGATTTAATGTCTGCCTTTATTTCTCTTTTACCTTGGAGTCAAGAGATCTTCCACCGTCCGATGGTACGTCTTGCTAAGCGGATGAGCGCCCTCAAAGTCACTGATGTAAGCAGCCAGTGCCGCAGAGGCCGACGGATACTGCGTACTCTTGTACGTCATGATCGAGGAACGGCCGCTCAGACTCTGGGTGCTGTGCAAGGTATCATTCAAACCGGACTGCGACAAAAACGTGGAGTTGTGAAGGGAACGACTCCGGGGAGATTTTCTTGACGCAGTGGGTGACGGCTGGTTGTAGGCCATTCTTTAGGTCGGTGTTTGGATTCTGTGTTGCATCCTGTGTTGTTGAAGTTGGAGACACTTCTTTGTTGTTCTTCTTGAAGACATGGTTGACTGGAGTTCATCTAGGCCTCATTTCTGTCGGGAAAAATACAAAAGAGCGAAACAAACATAAGGGATTGTTTACTTACAACAGACAAATATTAGCAGAAAATATCCTTATTTAAAAATTAACCCTAACTCCCTAGCATGATTTACTAGGAAGCATACCCATCCTGGCAAATTCCAACACCATATGGGAACTGCACACACATATTTCTGACTTTGTTTCTGGAGGTGTGCCAACCCGATGTTAAAGACTGTCAGTTTAGGGGTACTGTACCTATCCCGACAGATTCCAACAAAACATGCTGTTGGGGTTTGATGGGTTGAGTTCTGAAAATGCTGTCACAAACCATGCTACAATCAAATCCATTGTAGGTATTTTCAGTTGGCAGTTTCAGTGGCATTTTACTAATACTGACAAACAATGTCAATTAAATATCAAATCAATGGAAGGTATGCATATCCATTATACCTTCAAAATAAATTAACATGACATTCTTCCTGACAAGATTGCAGGTAGCAGTCCTATTCTCCGAGACTCAAAATGTCAACTGCAAGTTGGTGAAAGTGAAACAAGGAATTTGAAAGGGAAAATACGGTTAACTTAGAATCATACAATTTCGTTCTTGTACATCTTGTAGCAGACTCAGAAATCCGACATGAAAACAATATACACAAACTAAACGATGCCAAGCTGCAGAACAACATGTACAAGCGAAATACAATAAGTTGTTTAGTGTTGGAGGTCACCAAATGGTACATATGATAGCAAGAGGAAATAAACATTAAGCTCCCATTTCATCGAGTCTTGCTTGTGAAGTAACTACTGTTTTAGGCCTACTTTCCTACCTCCATGCTGGTAATAAAAGTTGTAGTGGGGGCCAAGGCCCGTAGTTGTAAACGTTTTTTGGAAAGATTCCCGGGTCATTCCGTGTCAAATCACCCAATGGGTTAAACCCCACCCCCTTCAAATTTGCTCATATTTAGTTTATGGGGTAATATAGGCTGAAAAAGCTGAAATTTTAAGTTTTAGCGCCATCGGACAAACGGTTTTCGAGCTACCGCCATCCATTGTTTGGCAAATTTGGTCAAAATGGGCGTGGCCACCAATTTTCAAATGACCACATCTCCATAACGTGTGGGCCAAATTTGTTGATCTTGGTTGCTTTGGAAAGGTAGCATCATAAGGAATCCAAATTTACCATTACTTTTCGTGTCGGAGTAATTTGAAGTATGATGACCTTTGACCTTTACTTTGAACTTGAATTTGACCTTGTGGATCACGTGACCGTGAGACGAACTTCAATGAAAATTATACCCCACCATGTTTTCTACAAAATATCCAAAAATTGGGGGTATAATATTTTTTTTTGGTTTCTAGCTTATGTCAAAGTTGGCATACGTGTTGCAAAATGTGATATCCTTATACATGTACACTTTTCAGGGACTTATACACTGCAGGGACAAAAGAATCCCTACTTTAAATCCACTAGTACACTTTTTTCAATTAATTTTCACGCGCAAAAAGTTGCATCCTTTATGGTTATTCCCTCCACTTTCCCTCCTCTACTCTCACCCTTTCCTTTCCTTTATTCCTATTAACCCCCTAGGCCCTTGTTGCTTACAACCATCCTCAATCCTCCAAAATCCTCCAAAATTTTTCAACTCCGCCTAAATTTTTCAAAATTGTCAGACAGTCCTGCCTCAAAATGCATTCATCCTCAATCCTCCAAAATCCTCCTCATCCCAAAACTTTGCACTCGTGTTTAAATGAAGGATAACCAACGCCAAATCCTTCAAAATCATCAGACAGTCCTGCCTCAAAATGCATTCATCCTCAATCCTCCAAAATCCTCTTGTGCTTCATTCACCATTCATCCTCAATCCTCCAAAATCCTCATGTGCTTCATTCACCATTCATCCTCAATCCTCCAGAATCCTCATTTGATTCAATCACCATTCATCCTCAATCCTCTAGAATCCTCCAAAACCACCAGGAGGATTTTGGAGGAGTGAGGTGGGTTAGGGTTCAGTCACTTCCTTCATCGAGATTCGAACCTCGGACACTTGCTTGTAAGACAAGACTTTTACCACTTTACCACATACACGATCGCATTGCAATGATAGATCTTTGGACGCATTTGAAGTATCCATTGAAATAAACTAAATAGGCCTATTCATGTAAAAATGAATATTCATAATGATGTATTGCACTATCATTGGCTGGCTCATGCGTTGTCATGGTTGTCAATGTCATGTGTAAAATGTACCGCTGTCTTCCATCAGTTTTGACCGGCTGCTCAACTTAGTTCTGCACGACGTGTGCATCCAAAATGTGCTCTAAAAAACATGTTTTTCCTAACAAAATCTTGCATTGCCTGGATTCCTCTTGGGTGAAATCACAAAGCATGCAAGGAGGTGAAAATTGATATGTTTGGCGGTAGGCTAAGTGGTGATCCAGTATGGAATTTTTTCGCCTCCGTATTAATAAACACAAGAACAATATAAATAATGGTTGGATTTTAAAAATCCCCCCCCCCTTAAAAAAATTGCCTATGGCTATGTAGCTGGAGTTACCCAGCCCTGAGTTTTATCATTGGGTTGTCTATAAGGGCTGGAGCGAATTTTTCTCGTAACTTGTAGTATTTGCAAAAAAATTTGGAAAATGTTCAATTTTGTCCCCGTTACACACTAATTGCAACTGCAACTCACCCCAAACTTGCCTGGAATAACCATTACACAGGTCCTTGAAGTAAAAAACGATCCACGATGAAGATTCAGCCTACAATTGCAGTGAAAACAGGAGGAATAACCGCTAACCTGACAACCTTTCAGGCATGGCCAGGACTGCTATTGGTTTGTGCACAAAAAAAATTGTGTACAATGAATGGCGGTCGATTAACAGGCACAGAGAGCGATCGCTGTCAACTACTCGTTTTTGCCGGCTGCGCTGGCGTTGGCGCGTGACGTCACGCGGAAGCGTAACACCCGATGACTGTTTCATGCACTAGTATAAGGTTTACCACTCGCATCACAGCTTTGGTACTGGAACCGCAACCAATAGTGCATGAAACAGTCATCGGGTGTTACGCTTCCGCGTGACGTCACGCGCCAACGCCAGCGCAGCCGGCAAAACGAGTAGTTGACAGCGATCGCTCTCTGTGCCTGTTAATCGACCGCCATTCATTGTACACAATTTTTTTTGTGCACAAACCAATAGCAGTCCTGGCCATGCCTGAAAGGTTGTCAGGTTAGCGGTTATTCCTCCTGTTTTCACTGCAATTGTAGGCTGAATCTTCATCGTGGATCGTTTTTTACTTCAAGGACCTGTGTAATGGTTATTCCAGGCAAGTTTGGGGTGAGTTGCAGTTGCAATTAGTGTGTAACGGGGACAAAATTGAACATTTTCCAAATTTTTTTGCAAATACTACAAGTTACGAGAAAAATTCGCTCCAGCCCTAATAGACAACCCAATGATAAAACTCAGGGCTGGGTAACTCCAGCTAATGGCTATGCTACATTTATGCTGTTTATTTTAGTGTTTAAATATCTGAGGCTGTATTAAGTCTTTAATCCTAGGCATATATGCAATGGCTGATATTTAGGGCTTTTATTTTACATACCTACCAACATCTGAGTCTGAAAAAGCAGCAGATAAAGACCATTTTTTAGGCACAGCTTCAGGGACAAATCAACCAAAGCAATGCCCGTTTTGTTGCAATATACAGCGCCCCCTATTGTTTATAAAAACAACGCCCTCTATTGACACTGCTCACCGCTCGCCGACTTCTGTCCATTCGCGATAAAAACAAAGTTTTTGTGATCACGAAAACTCAAGAAAAACACATTGTATTAAAGTGGTATTGCGTCCAATATTTGGCCATGATATTTGACACATGAATCTCAAATATTGACAGGAACCGTGAAAAAATGACATGAACATAAATTAAGCAAATTGCAGTGTTACACCATGGAGGAAGGAATTCCTCCATGGTTACACTGTAAGGACGCGCTACATAAACAACTGCTCACCGCGCGCCCACTTCGGTCAATTCGTAATGTAAACAAAGTTATTGTGAGGGCGATATCTCAAGATAAACACTTTGCATTAAAATCAAATCTCGTCCAGTATTTTGCTATGATATTTGACGCACGAATCTCAAATATTGACAGGAACCGTGAAAGAATGACATCAATAAAGTTTAAGGAAATTGCAGTGTGTAAAGACAAACCGTATTTAAATCGTCATCAATTTCTTCCGAAAGAGGGCGCGCTAACATAAACACTGCCCGCGAAATCTCAAGATAAACACCTTCCTTATCAACGGTCAGTTTAGATTATAAATGACAACGAGTCCTTCAATTTATTTTTTTTAAAAGTGTGTCCTGAAATACATGTCATTCCCCTATTAAGTTTCAGTTTTCATCCAATGACCGCACAAAATTGTTTCATAAAGTTTCATCTTCGTACGAGTACACCGAGTTCCACTAGTTCACATGTATTTGATTGTCGAAAAGTGAGAGGTCAATGTTTGGCACGATAATTCTTTCACGTCGGGTGTTTTTTCAGTTTCCATATATTGAGATGATCGTAACAATTTTACAAAGAGCTTTTTCGAGGGTGATTTTCTTAAGAGATCAATGTACCAAAATAATTACAAATGTTACATTTTTGTACGTTAATTTTCCTATTCAAGGGGTCCGGAAGAGCGCCACTAGGGGTCAACTTTCAGGCTCTCTTGTATAGTTGTGGGAGGCATTAAAAGCGCCCTCTATTGGTCTGTGTCATAATTCTGATTTTTGCCTGCAGAATTATGACACAGACCAATAGAGGGCGCTTGTTTACATTATCCACGGGCTCTCATGTGGATACAGTTGTTGCTACGAAATGATCAATTTATGGATTTTGAAATTCTGTTTCCCAAACAGCTGATTTCGGGATGCAGCAAAAATAACGCATGAAGCTTTGCACACGCCAGCGGTGAGGGCAGTATAACCATCATCTCAGTGAAGAAAAGGAAACAGATAAATAACATTTTTAAAATGGACAACTTATGGGCAAGTTCGCGCAAGAACTATTGTTAGTGCGACTAAGATAGTCCGAAGTTTCTGTGAAATTTGAATGAAATTTGGGCCCTAAAAGTGCTCTACTTTTGCAATGGAGTCTAGTAGACACTGTTTTTCAAAATGGCGATGGGCTTCAGGACTAATTAAGGGGTGGTCATCTTCGGATGGAAATTTTTCCCAAAAGTCATCAGATTACCCCAATAAATTGAAAAACATGCATGATGATAAACTAAGCTGTAATTTAATGTGTGTCTCGAACACCTTGGAGAGTTAATTGTGAGTATTTTTCCTCAGGCTGAATTTCTAAAGTGGGGGCATTTATCATTGGGGTATATGGACTAACCTGGTTGGCCTTGGAGATATCTACCGGTTCATTCAACATGTCAAAGAATATTAATAATCCAAACATATACTCGTGACCACCATTATGTTGACAAAGGTTCGACCAGAGTCGTTCGCACCACAATGTTACAGCGCATGCGCACTGTTTGACACCAACCAACCATTGGTTGACTAATGGTTGTTGCGCGAACTTACCCTATTGAAAAAATGAGACATTTGAACATGCTTACTTTGGTGATGGTAGCAAGTTATGCAATATGTTTGTATTTCATTCCATGTTGACATTCCTATCGCTACTTCTTTAGTTTAGGTGTTACTGTGTTACACAGACATTAACATATTACATTAACATTACATTATATTATGTATGGCATGTATGGTACAGCATAATGCTTGAAGAAGGCTGGTGTAGACTACTCGAAACGTTTAACAGTCGACCCCTGACTAATGTCTGAACTCTTCTATAGTGTCACTGCGTTGCTACCTCTTATATATTACAATAATGTGCTTTTATTAACGTGTCTAAATGAACATCATGCGTGAGTACACACTAAACATCTATTGTTTATGATTGGACGAAAACAGAAGTTTCTTTACCCTGATTGGCTCGATTGCTAGTGTCTACCCGCCCCTGTCATTTCTTAGACCAGCCGCTGGTCTACCTTAGACCAATCAGATTTCAGCTTTATCACCAAATCACTTCAATATTTAACATTGACAACCCTTTCCCGTCCCAATTTATGTCATTCTCGTCACACTACGGTTTATATACATCTTTGCTACTCTTAATTTCTACAAGTGTATAGGCAGTTATTTCTATCACTGTGCTATTGCGACAATCACACACCATTGCATTTAGTAATCTACACATTTACATTCAATGGCAAAATTCCATGAAGCGTTTCAGTAAAACTGCTCAAAACAAATATCTTACTTTTCAAGGCAAATTTACAAACATCAGCAGCAAGCAAAAGATGCGAATCAATTCGGGCGATTCACAATTCAGTGCGCCACCAAGAGTTTGCCATGGAGAGTCAATTTTTCAAGTATACGGTCGACAAAACATTGAAAATTTGAATGAGTGTCAGTAGACAACTTGAGCTAATATGTTATAAATTGGGGCATAGCGTTCTGCCGCCTTACAAAAAAACACCATATTTATAACAAGAAAAGAAAAGGGCAAACAGATCCTCGAATTATACGCTTAATTACGACACTACTGACTGAAAAAAACGAACAATTTCAAATGTCCCGCGCTGCGAATTGTCGACCATCTCCCACAATGCACTGGGAAAAATTAACTCTCCGTGGCAAACTCTTGGTGGCGCACTGCATTATGAATCGCCCGAATTTCAGAAGAAATCAGAACAAAAATGATTTATGTTACTACTATATGATCGGAGCCACAAAGCTCCATGGAATTTTGCCATTGACACACATATTACAGCATAATATACATGTATTTACAAAAAGCTGCAAGAAACAAGCGTCAACTACACGTTGGATTTTCGAAATGGAAGATCAGTTGGTTTTTTATCTACGTCAGTCGAGGGCGAGATAAGCATTCATCAAACGTACGTTCGTCGTTTTAGCGATACAAAAATAAAGTCCCTTTGGTTATTTTTTTATACAGAGCATTCAAATATTATGTTCATTTCAATCCAATCCAACGGTACGCGTTTCCATAACATCTCGTCTGCAAATTTCATAGACGATTCAAAAACCGTCAACATTATTTTTGGCCTTTTAAAATAAACTCTGTACTATTAAAATGCACTTGCTTTGAATAACTATGACACGGATTCACATTATATGTACTTTGCTTTAATTGGACGTAGTGATTAATTAATAATATTTTTTTTGTCAATTTTAACTTAACATTGTACATGCATTTATCAACACAAAAATATACATAAATTGTTTCCAAATAATGTGATTGTTTTAATGAGTGACGTCATCTGCGACCTTTGACCTTCGGACGCCATATTTAGTCTGTCAGTTTGTGCCATTCGGCCATTTGCTTTCTGGGGTTGCGCATGATGTCCGCCCAGTGTTGGGCCTCGTTTTCGCCCGCCTCTTTGCCGATAACGAGGCGCCCGATGATCTCATTCTTCATGACCCGATCGTGGTCCAGAACCTAAGTGGGAAAAACAGTAACAGATGAAACGATGGGAATCTCCTGATCAACCTCGTTCCAGTGCTAACTTTACTTTCAACCTCGTTTCCAATAGTCCCAGGGGCTTACTTTATTTTCAACCTCGTTTCCAATAGTAAGCCCTGGCATAGAAGCTTGTTTGCTGAATCATGATTCGATAGCGCAGTTAGCAAGTAATGGATTTATATCGTGTACTTGGTGTTGTTATTTTCAACGTGCATCACGTGTTGTCACGTTCATTGTAACTACACGTCCACACCTTCTCAAAATCATCCTTTCCTTTCCAATTTGTTCAAATGTGATACTGCAAATTGGCTGGATAAGTTGTAACATTTTAACTTTGAAAAAAAATCGTGCTTTCGTAACTCACCCCCGCGACGAATTGATTCTAATTGTTACCACTGACAGGGTATACACTCTAACACTCTGTGACGTAAAGCACAGGTAGGCACCAGACTATTTCTAATTTGCATACGTTTCCAAAAAAAATGGATATACAAGTGATCCAATAGCAGGGTGGGAGAGCAGGTAGTGGCGGGAGCGTACTGTTCGACACCATGGAAACGAGGGTGTCTTTTGATATATTTCAAATGTTGTTGTCGCTGTATTATGGTTGCGATGCATATAGCGTTTGGTAATTTTGTTTATGAGTTGTTGCAATTACACCAAATAACGTTGTGATTGTCATGGTTGTAGTAAAAACCTTTTTGCGTGTCTTTTCCATATATTTTTATGTGGTCGATTTTCAATTGTTGTCAAAACCGTTATAATTGCTGTTTTTGTTAATTCAGTTCAAGAATCCTTAATCGACGTTATTTCATGATAATCTCTTCTGAATACAATGTTTGATTCCGAAGGAAAATGTGAGCTAGTGTTCAGTTGGAATACTCGCTTGTGTTGTTGTGAGTGTTGCTTTTTTCCCTATTTGAGAAATGAGACATCTCCAACAGCAGTTAAGTGCATTCCTTTATCTAGAGTCTAGAATAACGATACTATTTAAAAACCACTGCAATGCATAACAACCACATCATCCAGAGATACCGTGCCTCAACGTACTCCCGGCGGGAAATTCATTCCAATTATGCCGTTTTCACTGACATTCTAATTTCATTTGACAGACCCACACCATAGGTCATTCCAACAAGACAAGGTCTGGTAAATAATTATCAGGGGGAAAAAAACTCGTAGCATTCATGAAAGTCATCCGCGCTGCATGCACTTCAGATATTCAATTTATCTCCGAGCTGCCTAACGCAGACGTTTTTTTCGTGACGGGGTCTAATTTGAGACCCGGGGCAACGCTAGGCACTTTCAGTTGTAAAAATCTCATTACGTTTCGTCGGACATTAGATTAAATCCGGTCTGGATGCTCCAGACTTATTTTATGTCTGTGATTCCTTCTGGGTTTTTTTATACCTGAAACTCGAGGCTGACGTTTTCCAAGCCCTCCAGAGGAACATCGAAGAGGAAAGACTCGTTGAAGACCGGGTTGAGGGTGCGTTTCTTCAGGCGGGTCTTCTTCTTGGCCAAGCGGCCGTTGTTGTACATCAGGTAGATCTTGACGTATGGGTCTGAGGACAGGAGGTCAAAGGTCGGTTAATGTGGATTAAAGGAGCGATCTCGTCATGGGAAAAAGTGGTTCAACTGATGTGAGCGTTGGGCAGGCAAAATGGTTCAGTCTGAAAATTTGGGATTCCCCGATCTGTACTGTTTTATGAGAGTCCCCAAATGGTATGGTATTAATATTGGTATAGTATGGTATTGAAAACATGCAATACAAGAAAATAGACTGGCACTTGAAACAACCAGTCCAACAACCCTCAGTACTGCAACAATCAACTGTGTCCAAAGAAAACATCTGGTAAGTCTGGTACTAGTCTGTACTGCTACATTCTCCATAGTCAGCCACCAGACTAATGACAATGTAGAGGTCAGTCTTTACAAATAGTTGGACCATGGTTGGACACGGAACCAGTCTAATTTTAAAATCACTTGACTTCCCTCTGACGTGCAAACAATGAAGAAATGTCTCCTTTAAAAACTGAATTGAGTCTTCAAATTTGGTTGGTGAAATACTGAGGACCTTTTCTTTGCCAAATGGAAATTTGGGAGAATTTGCCTGATTTCGTTTTGCATGTTTTTCAGCACTTGAGGTCCCAGAGTCTGACAAAATGGCAGACGCTGCTTGGTTTGCGGTTCGGCTAGTAGGTTTTGGGCTTGGCTTTTAGATTGGAAAGGGCACTTATTATTGGGCATGGTGCAGAGAGGGTTGAGCTCATTAGGCATGAGCCCGGACAAGGTGTGGCCGGTAAACTCGGTGGTACGGTTTGCTGAGAAAAAAAATCCGGTTTGCAAGAGCGGCTAGTCTGCAAGAAATACCGGTTTACCGGTTTAACGAAGACAGGTACCGTTGTGACCGGGGCAATGCCGGTTTCACGAGATAGTTCGGGACCTTAAGGTTTTAGATCATGTCGGTTTGACATATTATAGGGGCGGCGGACCCGGGGAGCAGGGTGAGCACTTGCCCCCCCCCCCCCCCCCCTAGATATTTCCAGGCCAACAAAAGTGCCACACTCGCGGTTATAAATGTGCCCCTCGAGATGAAAAGAAAACTGCCCCTCAAACGCACACAATGATCGCGCTAGAAATAAAATTGCCTCCTCTCTTGTAATGCAATACTGCCCCTCAAAAACCCAAGTATGACTCTCGCATTATCAAGATTCTGCACCAGATGGAAAGCTGTCCCTCGAAAGCATAAAATTATGCCCCTCTCGAGATGAAAAAATGGCCATCAAAAACAATAGTGCTCCTCTCGCGATAGCTTCTCGAGATGGAAAACTTCCCCTCGAAAGCACAATGAGTGCCCCGCTCGCGACATTAAAATTGTGCCCCCTCTCAAGATGGAAAACTGCCCTTAAAAATGCTAGTGCTCTTCACGCGAAATGGTCAATGAACTGGCCATCAAAAGCAACAGTGCCCCTCTTGCGATCAAAAACATGTCTCCCTACATAACTAGATAAAGAAACACAGAGGGCAAGATGGACAACGTATTCATAATTTGTTCCTCGTCATTATGTTTATAGCAAAATGAACCGGACCATATTCTTTTCCTCCACTTTCACACCGACGGGAAGGTGCCCCCTTTTTCTGAGCAAGTGCCCCTTTTTGGTGTTGCCCCCATATTTGAAAAGCGTTCTGCCGCCCCTGGTTTGACAGGTGCGGTGTCGGTTGGACGTTACCGATACTATGCAAATTTGGCAGCGACATTTTCCGGTTTGAACTTTTCAGGGGCAATTCAAAACACGTGCATACCTGAAAGTCCTGTCACGTCCATCTTGGGCAGGTTCTTTGCCTTCAAGACAACCACGGTCAGCTTGTTAGCCGCGGGCTGGTAGCAGAGAGACGTCAGGAGCTCACCCCGACCCTGGGATTTGGAGATCTACAGATAAAAGGGGCGGGGCGAGACAAGATAAAGGAGGGTGTGTGAGGAGAGAAAAATGGGGGAAGGGGGAAGGAGTAAGGAAAGAATTTTGGTAAATACAATTCATCAGTCAAAATTTACAGATCAATACCAAATTAAGAAAGAGTTTGTGCTAGAAAATAACATGTCCACTAAAGCAAATTTAACAACAGTGATGAATCGGGATTAAACTATTCAATGTTCTATCTAAATGATTTTCTTTAACCCATCCAGGATTCGAACCGGGTACCACGTCTATAAAATTGTCCATTTTCTCTTCTAGCAATTGTTCAAATAAGTATCAACTGGGAAACTGTCGGTGAAAACGATTCACCCACAGCTACTTGTTTCCAACTTAAATATTTTGGGTGGTCCATTTTCCATGAGTGAAACTGTCGCATGAATCAATATTTGGCGAAGGGCAGCTGAAATACAACATGACCTGTATGCTTCCCCACAGAAAATTCTAACGGGGAAAAGTTTCAGAATCGACTGCATGAGTCTACCATCAACCATGGAGCTAGCTCCCTATAGTGTCTACGGAGCTAAGAAAGTAAACACCTTGTTTAGAATGCAACGTCATATGCATACAGGTGACAATGCGGACGCCGAAGAAATCTATTTTGATAGGAGACAGTGAGGGATTTCGGTAAAGTGAATGTCATGTCAGAATATGTGTTAGTGATGCTGTCATGTCGTGGTCGCTTGTCACTCGTCATGATGTCGCACAATTACAAGAAATGACAGTTTGCATTCAGTTCACTTAAAGTGTCACATATTGTCACACAAGACTCCTGCTTTCTTAGCACTGTATCATAAAAAACGCATTTTCCGTTTTGTCAGCGTCACTTTGTCGCTTGTCGTGGTCATATTCTCACACAAAGACTCTCTACTTTCATTGCACTCTATCATAAAAAAAACATGTTCCGTTTAGTCAACGCCACTTGGTCGCTTGTCGTGGTCATATTGTCACATGAAGGCTCTCTACTTTCATTGCACTGCATCTTAAAAACGCATTTTCCGTTTTGTCAAAGTCACTTGGTCGCTTGTCGTTGTCATATTGCCACATATTATCACACGAGACTCTCAGCTTTTATTGCACTGCATCATAGAAAAAACGCATTTTCCGTTTTGTCAACGTCACTTGGTCACTTGTCGTGGTCATATTGTCACAAATTATCATCACACAAGACTCCCTGCTTTTATTGCACTGTATCATTGAAAACGCATTTTCCGTTTTGTCAACGTCACTGGGTCGCTTGTCGTGGTCACATTGTCACACTATTATATGTATCGTAAATAATGCATTTTCTGTTCGTCATTGTCATTTGGTCAACATTTGTCATTGTCAAATGATATTCTTCATTCACTGCATTATAAATCAATATAATTCCCGACATGTCCTATCGCGTAATCATGGATGACATAATAAAAAACGACCTGTCTGTGATATAAATATCTATTTGGTGTTAACATAAAATGAACTTGACCTGAAAAGACAAAAGCCTCATTGCAATGAAGGTCCTTTAGCAACGCGTGCCGTGCCTTAAAGATTTAATATGAGGGCGTCCTTGGCATTGATCGAACGCTGAATTGCCACCATGCATGTATACATGTAGATGGGGATGCTCTATTTTTGGCCGGCCTGCTATCGATCATTTTCTATTAAAGAAACGACAGTCATATGAAAAGGTCAAATCGCCAGCATGGAAACCAACAAGATGAATGAATATTTTGACATCAACTTCACAGAGAGAGAAGGGAACATATGTCAGCGTTTCTTTTTGATTTTTTAGTCTATCAACATTTCTCCTACTTCTGTTACTCAAGGATATGTCAAAAGAAACACTAACTCAATCTACATACTCAAACTGAACAGAACATTAACCTCGCCATGTGTTAACATTATACAGACTCTGAAACTAAATCGTAACCTTATACAATTTTGCAGACTCCTTTTGTTTGTTTAAATTATTTCAAAAAAAAAATTCTGAAAGAAGTCTTCAATAAAGACACGTTTGTGATGGATTTTCACCACTCTTGATTTTTCTTTATAGTTTTATAAATTATTTATTGGCATACAACACCAAAATCACCAACAGCAGCATCTGAAAGGGTCACTTTACAATGATAAAGGTGAGAGCACTGATGATGACGTCATCGTGTGTCATGTGACGTCACATTAGAGGGTAATTTGTGTAAAGCTATATCTATAGAACTATCAGTCCGATTTGGTTGTAACTTGGTAGGTACCTATAGAAAGGAATGTGTTACAGATGAAAACTGAAGTGACGTCATGATGACGTTGTCGCATGTCATGTGAAGTCAAATTAAAGGGGTATTTTTGTAAGGCCTATATGTATAAACTAAACTGTGAGTCCGATTCGATTGTAACTTGGTATATACCTAAACCGGGATGTGTTGTAAGTGACGTCATGATGGCGTCATCACATGTCACAGAGTCATTTCAAATGGCTGTTTGTCCACGAAATAATATTTTAATAAAAATGTGTGAAACAAGTCATGGCTATTCCCTGGAAGTCTTTTCATGCATCTGGTCTACGCAATGGGCAAGATTGAGCCCATTCATTTGTGTTATGGGGTGACCCTGTGCGATAGCACTGCCCGGCTCACAAGTGACAGTCAGTCAGTCAGTCAGTCCATAGAGCTGGGAGAGATAGGTACAGAGACGATACTATAAGCTTGTTGATTACAGGTTTAGTGTAAGTTGTTGATATAAAGTGTCGTGACACGATCCCGCAGATCCAGAGATGAAGTCTTTAAGGTTAGGGGTGACCACTTTAATGCCAATTATGCTCCCGTGCCCTGGGGGATTTTAGACCCGACCCCGGGTGCCCACCATCGTCGGTGAACGGAGGTAACTCGTCAATACTACGAGTCGCAAACACGCGCAAGCACCGCGGATTTTAATCGCAGCGGCGGTATTCCTCGCACGCGCCCCCGGGGCTAACGGCGCAGGCTTCAAGACAGTCCGGAAACATCCCCGAGTTTCTTCTCCCCACGTATTTGCTCTGATGGCGTCTTGTTTTCAAGCCCGCATCTTTCTCGGACCATCATCATTTGCACCGTCTCACATTTCTATCCTATTGCTCCCAGCTCGGATGATGTTGACAAATGCTTAATTCGTTGTCTCCCCCACATAGCATCCATCTCAATTAGGGTTGTCTGGACAAGTGTGCCGGTTAATTTTCCTAGAATTTTTTTTTATGTAAGCAGAAGATTTATTCTAATGACTAATGCATTTGAAGTATGGGATTATTATAAGTGACTCGGGAAGTTCAAAATAACACAGTAATTATTCTAATGACAGTATTGCAGGCGAACATGGAAATCGACACCGTTTATTCTGCTAATAGATAAATGTCTGCAACTTGCAATTTAGACATCGAAGGAAAATTATTGGCACACAACGAAGATGTTTAAAGGGAATATACAACATTTGCAAACTTCAAAAACAAAACTCCCAAATTATTATGAAATACCTTACTGGACTCTTAGTGAAGACAGTCTAAAACATCCTGTAAAGTCATGGCACCTGGTGTACTGTCATTTTTAAGAAAGTGGTATATTTTTATATCAATTTCCAACGCTGGTCCGCCGAGCAGCGTTGGAAAAAAACTGGGTTTTTTTTAATACTGCCCCCAATTTACCATATTTAGTTAGTCCGCATTTTGTTTGCAATCGATCACACAACTATGAACGGGTACAAGCCAGTTATACTGGTTCCCTGTCGTTACAATTCCCCGACATCTATAAATTGCTCCGTTTTATCTTATGTGGGGTCAGGGAACAGACTACAAGAACATGATTGATCTTTCTTAGTTTTCCCAGCATCTACGAACACAAAACATCAAACAAGTCAGTGTAACAATATTTGCTATAAATTACCAACCCCTAAAAATCCATCCATTTCCGAAAATAACAGCAAAAGCAAATGTTGTATATTCCCTTTAACCATAAAACACATTCGCCTATTCCGCGCAATCGTAGATTTAATGTCTTGGATTGAGCAGTCTCCGTTTAAAAACTGATTCAGCACTTTTAAAAGCCTTCTCAAAGACGAGAGGAAACACTGAATAATCCTATAAGCTTGACATTTTCTGCATTGAAAATTTATGAAATGAAACCTCTTTGTATCCAATGAAGACGAAAAGCGGCATCATGTGAAGTTGAGGTATGTAGGCCTACACTGTAAACGCAAGTCGTGTTCGTCGTGTTTATACAGCTCACAATCCGGACATGAAGCAAGGTGTCGCAACAAAAACAAAATGGCGGGAACAAATTGGGGGGAAGGGGCGAAAATTCCCTCGACTGCTCGCAATAATGACAACAACAACAATAGCGTGGGGCCGTGCATGTTTTCCCAGCAGCCCGCCTGGCTGCCTTATAATCCCGCGGGGGACACGGCGGCCAGTGATAACAACAGACGACCACGCTCGGCGGGAAAACTCACGGGTCGCGCGCCATTACCGATTCCGAGGCTTGATCTTTATGGCTCGACGCCTCTGTCGTCATGGCAACCGAAAATGGCATCTGATTACGCGGTGGTTTTTTTTTTGATCGGCTGCATGCGCACAAATACAATTCCCACTGGATGCGATGAAATGCTTTTAAGGCTTTGGAAACAGGAGAAAATGTGAGCGTTCTTGTCAAACATCAATGCCGTCGTTTCATGGATTATAATGCCCACTTCAACTAATTGCAACGTTTGCTTAAAGACAAAAATGTATGGTGTCGTACGTTTGATGTGACGCAAATGTGTATCGATTTTCCATATCGTGCAATCTACAAGAAGACGTTAGTGATAATGTAGGCCTAGTGATGTGAGATTTTTTCCCACCAGAAATAAGAAAATGAATTATTGAAACTTTACAAACACGGTGAGGATAAAGACTCTGAAAGTGTTGACGGCAGGAAAATGGCGATGGGGACAAAGACATGGACAATGGCAACGATGACATTGTCGTTTTGACGACCAGAGAGTTTGGCAATAAAACATGTGACAGGGTCGACGAAGGTGACAACATTGTAGGTACACTGGGTTTTTTTCGAATTGCAAATAAACCAGCCGTGGCGTTCCAGAGGTCGCGGGTTCAGACCCAAGTCAAGTCAATTTTTGGTTCGACCCAATGAACGGTCACCATGTCCATACTGTCAAAGGTGACAAAATCCTAATGCACAACAGCCAAATGACGACGACAATGACTGTAACAATTTTAAAAATCCAAGGGCTAAAATATCCAACCCTTTCGTAAGTCGTTCTACATGACCTATTTTACTTTCGTCCCAAAGCTATTTACGAAAACTCTTCTCGGGGGATAGTTAACAACTAAACTCCGGCAGACACCGGGGACAAGCGGGGCAAGACCCCGGCTCGTGAGGGGCGAATTAGCCCCGATCCCCGCCCACCAAACCGTCCAGTCACGCTGCACCAGCACGGACCTCGGTGAAACGATACCTCGACATTCCCTTAAACCATATTTGCCGAGACTCCCCGAACTCCACAGTTAATTTGTCAAATTTGCACTGCCTGAAATATCACCCTGTTTCTACTTGATCTAAAAGCGTGGTCGATACACACAAAAAAGGGTTTGGATTCCAGTTTATTTTGAAGCCAGTATTTCAGAGCGTGAGGATGTTTTTAGCAACAGGCTAAACTTGTGCTCGAGGATACACTGAATAGATGACACTCAAAGCCAACAGGAAGTTTGCGGTCTACAGCAAATGTGCTTTGAAAATCCATGACGTCATTTGGTGGCAAGCGCGCGCAGTTCATTTCCGTACCATATGGCACGGCCCGAGTACATCAAGACGCAGACTGGCGGATTTAATCTTATGCTCTGATCTCTCAAGACGATGTTCAGGTTTCTTGCATGACTGAGCTAAGCCTCGTCTCTCTCGTCACCCCGTGTTTTATCCGTTCTAGCATTAGGCTGTAAGGGAGGAATAGTCTGGTACCGGACAGGGGTTCGTACACTTTCAGGCCTCCCGGCTGCAAATGTCGAAGGTTGTCACTTATTATTCAACTCTGAAGTATTCACGAAAGTAGAAACGGAATATATGAAGAGTAGGCCAGGGTCAGTCTAGATGAGGTGTACGTGCGAAACAACGACACGTACCTCAAATAAAATACAAAATAAAATTAAATAATCTGAATAGAATTAACTATAACAAAAACATAAATGACGTAATTTTCAGGGTTTAGTTAAAGGGGCCAAGACATAATTTTTTTTTAGGAACACATTTTGTGCAACTTTCTACTCCTCTTACAAATGTATGAAAACTATTTGACATCCCTTTTTGGTTAACGTTATTCAGAAGTGCACTCTTTCATCATTTAAAACTTTCCCGTGTTTTTTAGGACAACAGAGGGCGCTATTGCTGTGACGTCATTTCAGGAAGACGCTGTTCGGTTTAGGAGTTTTGCTCATTGAAAACATTTGTGAGAAAAGGTTGGTCATTGGCTTACTGAAATGTACTTACACAACAACGAATCACTTTTATGACAGCTAAATATCCAAAATTCTACCAACTTTTGGTGCTCAAATAGCTGTAACATTGAGGTTTCTGCCTGAAATGACACCACACTTTTGCTCATGAATATGTAAATTTGCATTAGCACAAAAACCAAAAAGGCACCAAAATGCCCTTGAAAATGGCAAAATGAAAATTAAAAATAAGGTTAAATAGGACACAAAGGTGTATTTTCAGGGACTGCATTAAAACAAATCAAAATGTATGGGTCCTTTATCCCTTAGCGCTTGCGTAGGGTTTAGAAGATTTACTGGGTTTTGGTAGAGAAATACGCGCAAAATAGACTGTTAAAAGTCTATTCTGATGGTGTGACGTCATTGGCATTTTTACTTGCAGGCATTTTGTTGTGGGTTCCTTATTAAGGTTTTGTTCAAATTAATGGCTACGGCTGAATATAACACACGGGCCTATGGAAATCCGTAGCCAAGTATCGGACACGGCCTGATTTGCCGTGCGCAGTAACTAATGACGTCATTGAAATATGCATATTAATGCATTTCGAAGGGCTTCCGTTTGCTAAAAATAGTTCCGAATATCGACTCTTTTTACTTTTCATGGAAAAAATAGAATCGCTTAATCCTTCTGGAGTTTCTTCCGCCTTAGATTGCAAACGAGAGAGAAAGAAATCGACAATGGAAATTGATTCTGAACTCGACTTCCCATTATCGTATCGAATGTCAATGTCAAACCTTTTGTGAGAGCATCTTCTCGGGAGCCTCTTTTGCAAACTATAGACCATGACCGAGTATGACGAGTTGAGAGTTGCAACCCAGTAAAAATGTATTCCCGTAGAGACTTGTGATAAATCCCCATACTTCAAAATTCTTTTGAACATACTCAAAACTCTCGCAGGTGTTCAGGCTACACATCTGATCAGACAAATGATGATCAACATGAGTCGTCTTTCATTTTCTGTTCAATTTTTGGTGGGTCGACCGATGACTTTTTGGAGAAATTCTCACCCAAAGAAGACCACCCCTACAAAGGAACGATGTTTTTTCAAACAGGGTAAGTACCAAAATTTGAATAAAGGATCCCTCCACAACATAGCTAAAATGTCGCCACTTTCGGACCCAATTGCATCCGAAATGCTCAGAACTGGGAGCCCCAAGTCCAGGCCAGAGGTGCAGTGCCATATTGTCTTCAATTCCCCGATTCCATGGCTCTCAGAACTCTCTCTAATATAGAATGGTTTGAGTGGGTAACTGGTATTCATGAGCTCGGCGGACGGAACGCCCTTTTGACTGGGTTACACTATGAGATGGAGCAATAAAGTTCTCAAACCCCCTCCTCGATACTCAGTTTTAATCTGAAACCGGATCTGCGAGACCACAGACACCATCGATCATGGCTCAAATTCTCATGAAGCTACTAAACACAGCAATTTGCTCAGAAAATATTTACTTAGCAGGTTTACCAGCCAATTTATCTTGCGGTATGAATCGGTTGTAGCTGGTCCCGGCGGATTTTCTGCTCAGCACATATTTGCCAGGCAAAAACTTTGTGTGTTTTAACAGCTCGATATGAAACTCAGCCCAGCTGTGCTTGCTTATTTTTTTGTCTACGTGATTACCAAACCGCCAAGATAAAAATATGCTCTTTGCTTCATCTCGGGTGATTATCTAGAGTCCAAAGAATTCAAAGTTGATGAAAAATCCGAGAAAATTCCTCAACCCGTCCCAGTCTCTAACCACAAAAGGACAAGCCTGATCTCTCTGCCTTAAATGTCAGGGCGCGGGCGTATAAGCTCTCAGATCCGTACCTAAGTCCGACCTGTCAGTATCTTTGACGCGGGAACCAGAATAACAACTTCAAGTATCTCTCCATTCCATCTGTCTCTCTTTAAAACGCAGATGGAAACCATGCGAAAAGAAACCGTCTTTATTTATTTAAGACTAAGATTATGGTGACTCGGTGAAAGCATTTTCCTGTAAACGAGCGGCGAGGATCAGATATGCTCCCGAGGATAAAATGGGTTTGATCCTACCTGCGGGTAGGATTTAGTATTTCCCTAGATATACAAAGAATCCAAACAAATATTACGGGCTTTTAAAAATTATATGTTAAATAAATATTAAAAGTTAAAAGTTAAAAGTTAAATAAATATTCAAAGCACCTGCGAAGCTGTATAAGCCCTAAAACTGTCTCCGGAGTCCAAAATTGGGGTCCAAAATTACGAGGTTTTTTCCCTCAAAATTTGGCATATTTTTAGAATGTACAACAGACAGCTTTGGGTTATTGCAATGCATGCTGCAGGTTTCAACTTCCCTAATATACCACAATGCACTGCGATTGTTATTGATACTTTCAGTCGGGTGCTTGAGCAAAGTGTACAGTAAGTCACGTCTCTGCGGCCCTTGAAACTAGACTGATTATTGACTCACCTTCGGGTGTCTGGGTTTGACCTCTCGTGTCAAGGTCACGGCCTTCTCGCTCAGGTCAATATTAGCCAATGGCACGACGACCTCCCCGATGACGTCATCCCTTGAGAAGCGGTCGAAGCTCATGACGACAAAGTGGAGCGTGACGCCTTGCAGCTGGTTGTAGGCCAGGCCGTAGAAGGTGAAGGTCTCCTCGTACACTGGCTCCAAGGTCTTCCTCATCACCCTCGTCTTGACTTTGTGCTTCTTCTCCGGGAGGAGGCAGAGCTTGATGTAGGGATCCGAGGTGCCGCTCTGTGGATCCTTGACGGGTAGACCCTGAGCCTGGTGGATGGTGACAGTGAACACTCCCTTGTCGGTGCGGTACTCCACCGTGAAGGTGATCTGTCCTAGATGGGTCAGGTCCTCCGTGGATGATCCCTGCAGCTTGTTGTCCCCCTGCCATCCTGATTCGTTCTTCAGCTCCCCTCCCTCCGAGTAGCAATCCTTGTTGAAGGTCCCCGGGTCCATCCCACCGCTGACACCACCGGTGCTGGCGCTGTAGGTCTTCATCAGGGCTTTCTTCTCGTGTGACAGCGGGGAGACAGGACTAAGGGTACCCGGAGGGAAGGTCTTGGAAGGACCTAGGGTAGGCATCCCTTTCCCGTGGAGGGAGTCTGGAGAGGACAACTCCGGACTGCTGATGGGTTTACTGGCGGGTCTGGCGTAGAAGGTACGGTTGCCCTTCTCCGCCGTCCCGCCATGGAAGAAAGAAGCTTTGTATCTCCGTCGGTAGCAGTGGTAGACGCTCAGGACTAGGAGCAAGACTGAGGTAATGACGGCCAAACAGACTCCGACCAAAGCTGCCGTGGACACTATAAACAAGGAGCAAAAGAAGATTATTTCATTAATGAATGTCACCCAAATATTCACAACCTGGGAGCCGATGATGTAAGAGGCAATATACTCTCGGAGAGAAAACAAAATCAAACTTCTCATTTCTTTGGTCGGGGAAAACCCAGTACAACACGGATGGGAAAACCCCTAGAAAAAAATCAAGCCTTGGCGCAAAATGTGATAACAATGTCATAAGCTGACTTCTTACAGATTGCATTGACAACAAACAGCATAAAACATGCGAGATAGTTTATGCTTAGCAAAGATGGTCTTCCACTTTCCATTCAAAAGTTTAAATAGCACTTACTTGTATAATTATATTTGGTTCTCTGCCCTAATTCCCTTAGCTAATTAATTTCTTTAAGCTAGTCTGCTAAGCATCTTTCCGGTTGAGGTGCTCAAAGCTGGGAGGCAAAAGCCAAAACGTTGGAAATTTGATAGTTACTTTCAGACCTTAGATTTTGTTCTGAAATTTGAATTGATAACACGTGGGTAGTGCTGAGTCAAAAGAAAACAACTCGGCTTCCCCTGGAGACCCTCATCAGAGCTTTAATGCTCGCCGCACATCATGAAATTTTAAGCAGGACCAGGGATTTCATTTAACGGTTCATTGAGCATTCTTCCGACCATAAGCGAGATAAATAGCGCCCTCTAAGCGACAACACGAATTCCCAAATTATTTCGAGAGAAAACCGCCAAAACAATGAAACAAAAGTAATTTTCAAGTCCGATTTTCCCCCAAATTGATGAAACAAAAGTGATTTTCAAGTCCGAAAATTGGAGCGTATCGGTGGTAATACATTTAGATGTAATTCTTGTGATGGGAAAGGGGCGTGGTCCCCCTATTTTTTAGACTATCCAATATATGGTTTGCCGTTTTATTAATACCACTTTCAATATAGTTTTGTGCTATAAATACACCCATACAAATTCGACATAATTATTTTAAATTGTGAACATTGCATGATGGAAAGATAATATATTCAACCTTTGCATAAGAGCAAGATTTATTCCTGTTTATCCTGAAAGCAACGAGTAAAAACAAAATTAACGACCAAAATCTGTCGCGGCGCGGAAGAGACAAATTGCGCCATTTGCCGATTGCCATGTGCGAAAAACCCGCCATAAAACACTCGAAGGTTTCAGCAGCGCTATACGACTAAAACAAATATCACATCTATTCCAACGCTGTAGCTCTAGAAACCACTGAGAATTTGGGTAGTATTTTTTTTTTAATTCTGCACACTAGCGTCATGATTTGGGTTATAAATTATGGCAGAGAGCACTTGTAACAAGCGGAGTCCACTCAGAGGGTTCTGAGTATGGCGTCAGTCGGTCCACGGGTTGGTAATGCAGCCAGACCCACAGCCTTCATCCAAAGCGGTGCTATCGGGGGTAGATAGCTAACGAGGATACGTGCTGGCAATGAGAGCACGGTAGCTCGGCGACATTTTGAGGCTGAATCGGTCATGCTTTGTGCAAATATAATGGCAAGGGCTGATGATTTTAAAGTAGAATGACATTTAGAAAGGCTTGATATTTCTAGAATTGGGAATTTCTACAAGAAGAGGACTATGATAAAGATGAATGAAAATAATCTCAGACAATTAAAATGATTGAGAAGTCATTGCTAAACCTGTTAATGGTACCTATGGGAGACGTGTTGTCGTGATTAATTATACCCTAGGGAGACACCAGGACATTAGGGAGACCTTAATTTAAATGTCTCCCTTATGTCATAGCTCCTATTTAGAGGCAAAATTGTCGCAAATGGGCTAGATCGATTGCTCGTGGTCCAAAACATAAATATACCGAAATTCGAGGCGGTAGGATATGGTAAAGTTAGGGTTAGGTGACATTAAAGATAGAAAATATTGTGCACAAGTCTATGAGAATGTCTCCCAAATTACTTTTTCCCGTAATAGTTATTACTACAGTAATGTTATAACTTTACTGAACACTGTTCTGTTATTGGTATTTTAATTAGTTAATTTGATCTATGGCAACCAAAAACTAAAATTTGGCAAACATTAGCGACTACTTTTTCAACTGGAATTGAAATTGAAACAAAAACAAAAATCGATTACACTAGCGCTAGCGTCACTTTTAATTCTCACAAGACAATATTAATATCGTTTCGGTTTGCGGTAACACCATGTGGTAATAACTACTGCTTAGAAGATATTTAGTTCTGAAAAGAACTTGTCCTGCTTATATCAACTTTCGCTATGTAGTTTTTGTTCTGATAAGAACAGTCCTGCTTAGACAAAATTAAATTGGCTTAAGACTCTACCACTGCAAGTTCTATTCATTAACCCTCCTACTGTTTAAATAGTCACAGACAGTCAAAAATTCTATCCACTTCTCCTGCAATGCCTTTTACACAGGTTAGTCACAAACAGTCAAATCATATTTCAAGCAAGCACTCCGACTAATCCAATTCAGTCAGCAGACAAAAGCAGGAAACTATGGCGAAGCTGTCTTATCAATCACCTGCAGTAAAAGCACAGCTGTAAAATATAATCTATGGCTACCAAAAATCAAAGTTCCGCAACAAACAATGGCAACTATATTTTTTTCTAAAGCTTCAACTTGAATTGGAATTGGAATTGGAAGAAGTTGAAACTTACTTATCAATCACTGTGCCCTAGCATCACTTTAATTCTGATAACACAAAATGAAAGTGGTTTCTGAGACAGTACCACGGCGTGCATGCATCACGCCTGTTTTGTTTCTCGTCTTCCCTGATGGACAAAATCGGCTTCAAGCATCGGACCTATTAGCGTCTCCGGCACTGATGCTTATTTCGCATAATTTCTCCCATGAGCGGGCTCTATCTTTGACTGTCATTCCTATACCATTTTCTTATTCATTACCCCGTCGCTTCGCCCCCTCCGCTCATTATTTCTAAATTTTCGGGCTTGAGTGGTGTTCTGGCAAAAAAAAAAACGCGAGCAGCTGCACATACGAGTGCGGTGCATTTTTTGGAAGCAGACGGTACGTTTGCCGCCGGCAACATGGCGTAAAGAAAAAAACATCCCGCGCTTATTTTGGCGCGCTTTGACGCAGGCCTAATAATCATGTTTGTCAGACGGGGAAGTTTAGCCGGGGGCCAGAAATTATTGCTCAGTTCCTTGCGAGTTAGTGTTAGTTCCGTTTTTTACAAAACATGAATATTTTAGACTACGATGGATGCTTTCTCGTTTCCCACACTTTCTTTTGAAAAAAGATCTGTAAATCTTTGTCGACAAAACTACCTCAAAATTCGTTTCATTCTCTCGTTTGTCGCCTACCTCACCATGACATGGTTTGCTGTTGACCTTATTTTGATATCAGAAGAAAACATGTCTTGAAATACACATCGCTTCTCTTGCTAGCAAGATAAGATCTTATCATGTTCCTCCGGGAATTAACATTGCAAACAATCTTGAGGATATAAAGCGGACGTTTTTTCTACTTAAAAGGCAACTCGGAGCTCGATAGGAAGACAGTTTTAGGTACATGTTTGTAAGCTCTTTACAGATTATTACATTGTGAAACTGCAAACTGATACAATGCATCACGCAAAGCTTTTTACGAACAAAAGAAAATGCGTCTGCATTTCCTATTGTGTTTCCTTCTATTGGAATTGTGACAAAAGGATGAAACCCTGGCAAAATAACCGCAGAAAAGTGTGTGGGGGCGCAACTTCCCATGCCGCGTTCACTGTGTTATTGTAACATTTAGAGATCAATACACATTATGCTTTGAATTATTCCTCGATCGACAAACGCCCGTCAGTACATCGAGTTAAAATAACACCATTGGAGACAAGAAACTTCGACTGCGAGCCCCAAGAGTACTACGAAACTTTATTTAAGAAGATAACTTATAAAACTTGAGTCGTATTCTCCGATCTACAAACTTGGGTCTAGTTCTATATTTAGTACGGCAGATAGGTGATGGGATTGTGCCTTTGATTATATACAAGCATGGAATTTGGCAAACAGTCAGAGTAAGTCATGAAAAAAATATTTGCTATAGGGCGTCGTGGATTTGAGCTTTGCAAAAATATAGGTAGAATGGGTTCTACCAGATGTTCCTCAATACCTACGTTCCCCAGTGCCTATGTATTCCTCAAATCCTTATGGTTGGGGTTAGGGTTGGGGAACATAGGTATTGAGAAACATAGGTATTGGGGAACATAGGTATTGGGGACATAGGTATTGGGGAACATAGGTATTGTGGAACATAGGTATTGGGGAACATAGGTATGCACCCAGTAAAATAATAGGTATTGGCAGCCATTTTTAAAATTTTGAAAATTGCTTGTTAATCTACCTATATTTCTTCAAAGGAGAAATCTGCGATGGCCCTATAGCCAAATATATATCTGAAGACATACTGTGACTGTGTGCCAAAATGCCATTCCTGTTCCATCAAAGGTACAATACTCCCAAATATTTCCCCGTCTGCCCTTATAATAATTATTAGAACGTGAAAATCAAGTAAGTTTGAATATGTGGATTTGAATATTTAATCTTGAAAATTAACTACAGGCACTTCGTCGTCCATTCCATTGGGATTGGTGTGTTTTGAGTGAACACAAGTTAGTGATTGCCATGAGTTATACAGTGAAAGTAAAGAAAACTGTATTTTTTTTCCAGTAGGTTTGGAACACATAGGCCTACTTTGTTTCATACCTACACAGTTTCGGTTAGGCACCGTATTCTGTTTCGCCTACGCGGGGGCAATATGCTAGTTGCAGATTAACTTTCCATCCTGGAAAAGCATTTTCTGTGAAAATCCAACCCGACGAATCAACGACTTGTGTTTTTAATAATCGCTGGGTCAGTGCTGTGTGCACAGCCGTTAAACTGTGCACACACACGGCGCATAAGAGACGACTCCCGAAAGTGCGCTATATCGCAAACCCGTTCGCCAGGCAACCGTTGCTAGGACGTATGCATGACGCCAATGTGACGTCATTTACTGGCAA